GGGTGGATAAACTTTATTTTCATAAGGGAGCCTAATGCTTGTCCATATGTAGCCTCTCTTAGGAAAAGGAAGTTTATCCACCCAAAATGCTTCAAGAAAATCCATTGTTTTTTTGTGTTTTTTTGGGTTTTTTGTTTGTTTGTTTGTTTTTGTGTTGTTTTTTTTTGTTTGCTGTTGTTTTTTTCTCCCGTAAAATTTGAAAACAGGACTTACCATAGTTTACTTGGCGGCTCTTGGACTTTGTTATAGCAGCATATCTTAGGACATAACTACGACATTCGTGTGTTGAAACTCGCTGGCACAGGGGTTGAACTCTAGTCGCTGACTCAAGAGTGTATCGCCTCATCAAGGAAAATGACGGACGTCCTCTTGACCACATCCATTTGTACACGACATAATACACATTTAACCTCTTGACACCGTTTAAAGGAAATAACGTTGGGAAGGTGATCCTTTCGGGGTTTCCCCAGCGGCTAAAAAACCTGCGCAGAAAAACAGAGCGACTGAAGATGAAGAGATAAAAAAGAAATAAATCAAAGAAAGAGAACTATGATAGATAGATAGATAGATAGATAGATAGAAAAGCAAAACAATTTTTTCGTACAGCAACAACAATCTAGAGCTATAAATTGTGCGAAGCAAAAGAGTGAGAGAGGGTTAGAGAGTGAGAGAGAGGGGGGGGGCGGAGGGGAGGTGGAGTTAGGGAATTGGGGAGAGGCGTTAGATAGATAGATAGATAGATAGATAGATAGATAGATAGATAGATAGATAGATAGATAGATAGATAGATAGGAGAGAGAGAGAGAGAGAGAGAGAGAGAGAGAGAGAGAGAGAGAGAGAGAGAGAGAGAGGGGACAGAAGTGAAAAGAAACCAGTGTCTTGCGAAAATATACATGACCTTAACGGGGAAGGAAAAGAAAATGATGTACTAGCAATAAGCACCCTGCAAAACATCAGGGGTTCCAATATTATGGCTGATGCTATCTCTAGCAGTTATAACTAAGGGAGAGAGAGAGGCTTGCTGAAGGATAGAACGGTTTCTCTTTGTCTTCCTCTGTCCTGGTTTCGTTATAGGCCAAAGATAAGTGCATAGCGTTTGACTCAAAGCCCGCTGAAATAACACGGGCAAGGAAACGGCTTTACCGCGTGATGGAGAGACTGATGTTTTTATCCCTCGAATGGCGGCGTGGAAAGGGTTAATACCTCATCATTATGATGATAAAAAGAGGTAGAGAGGATAAACGTTATGGAAGAAAGTCGTGGGATGGGGAAAGGATTTTATTCTATCCCTGTTATAATTGCCTTATTTGTTACGTAGGTGACGTAAAAATGTATTGACTTGGTGGAAATTGTTACCCAAGAAAAATACAACAAGAAAAAGGGGAATTGTTTAGTCGGTGATGATGATGATGATTATGATGATGATGATGATGATGATGATGATGATGATGATGATGATGACGATGATGATGATGATGATGATGATGATGATGATGATGATGTTGTACTACGAGGGGCCTTCAATAAGTCTTTACCCTGGCTATGAAGTAATTGTCGTAAAATGGTGAGTTTAGTTTTGGTTTTAGTAAGAGTTTTGCGGTACTTGCAATACAATAAGGTCATACAAGTGCCGAAGATTAGAGGTGTTGCAAGAGAGTAACAAACATAAAAAAGGAGGGGGAGATAAAGATGATAGATGTTTGATAGGAAAGAAAAAGCAAATCACACCAGAGCACCCGTCAACCACCCACTATGGTGAGTTTTGCAAAATGTGATTTCTATCTTTCTGGAATGCTACGAGTGGAGTTTTGAACAATTGCGATGTGCGGTTTGAACCTAAGAGCACTTTTAATGAAGGCATTCCTTGAATAAGAACGAAGCCATGGAAAAAAAATCTTTCTGCACACCAATGCTCCTGTGTACAGAGCGGCAAAGACAACCCAAACAGATAAGCAGTGTGGCTGCGAAATTCTACCCCACCCACCTTATTCAGCATTTGACTTTTTACTTTTCCCAAATCCGTTTTCAAAGGACAGCGTTTCCATAGTGATGAAAATGCTATGTCTGTAATGAATGGATGGTTTGATTCGAATTGAGATCAAATTACGTTCAAGGGCTGTTTGGAGACCGAAGAAAAAATGGCAAACTGTTAATTTGTAAGTTGACTATGTTGAGAAATAGTAATCATGGTGTCAAGTTTCAACTTCCTACCTCTCTTCTTTCATAGTCAAGATAAAAACATATCGAACGACCCTGGTAATAATATCATCACTATTATATTGCTATTGTTGTTGCTATTACTGCTATTATTGTTGTTGTTGTTGTGTTGCTGCTGCTGCTGTGGTTATCATAGTTGTTTTTTGTCATTGTGACTTCTGTTGTTAGAGTTACTTTTTAAAAGAGAAAAGAACAGTCTCAAGATCAGCTACTACCACGTGTCATAAAACAAAGATTGTGACAAAAGAAACCACAAGGATGACGTAAAAGAAGCAGACCACACAAAGCGCCCATTACCAGCCCTCTAGGTACATATTGTTACACTTCATTCACCGTGGTCGCAAATGTTGCAAAAAATGTGAAGGAAGCAGTGACCTGTATCATGTGTATGTGTGGGGGTGGGTGGGGGAGGGGATACGGCGATGAGGGGGAAAAGGGTGGAAGACGATGAGATGGCGTAGTTAGCTATGCAGACAAGATAATAATAATATGAAGAAAGAAACTAGTGGTGAAGAAGATGAGAAGACGGGAGAAACAGGAGTAGCAATAGAGAGACAAAGACCTCGGATTTCCCTTTCATGTTCGTGTCTCCCACTTCGGCAAAGTTCAAAGTGTACACCCCCAGCACTTGAGACAAAGGTCACCTCACTAGAACAATAGATACTAGAGGAAGTGGGTGTGAGGAGGGCGCGCGCGGAACACAGAGAGAGGACTCCTTCAATGCTAGAAACGCAGAGAGAGGACTCCTTCAATGCTAGAAACACAGAGAGAGGACTCCTTCAATGCTAGAAACGCAGAGAGAGGACTCCTTCAATGCTAGAAACACAGAGACACGGAGAGAGGACTTCTTCAATGCTAGAAACATAGAGAGAGGGCTCCTTCAATGCTATAGACATAGAGAGAGGACTCCTTCAATGCTAAAAACAGAGAGAGAGAGGACTCCTTCAATGCTAGAAACACAGAGAGAGGACTCCTTCAATGCTAGAAACACAGAGAGAGGACTCCTTCAATGCTAGAAACACAGAGAGAGAACTCCTTCAATGCTAGAAACACAGAGACGATCACATTTCACGCTTGGGCTGAGGGCCTGGCGACGGCATCTACAATTATCTCCCTCGCACAAACACGGTAACGGGCAAGGGTCACAG